TCCTAGTGGGGCATCCCTGGAAGAGTTCCTGGGGACCTTGAAAGAAACTGTCTCTCAGGGCCTCCCAGATGCGCACCCCTCCCTGAGGGGCCTGGTGGATAGTGGATGGCTACTGTGTGTGGCTGTTCAAAGGCCCATCCCTCCTGGCCAGACTGTGCTCCCCACCCTGGAAGGAAGACCTTTTTCTCCATGATGTTGTGGAGCACACAACATGTGGATATCACCTTGGGAATTCTGTGCTCCCCCACATCCAGGTACATCAGGAGTTACCAGAACTGCTCCTTTAAGTGCCCAAAGGCACTTTTGGCCTGCATGCGGGTGCTGGAGAAGCGGCCAGTGAGCAAGTCCTTCCTTGGGTCCAGTGTCCAGTGTTTGGCTTCATCATCCACTGCATGAGGGGGTAGGCTGCATCCTCCATAATGCACAGTGGCATTTCCACCTCCCCGACCCAAATGTTGTGCTCAGAGAAGAAAGTGCCTGCTTCTGGTAGAGGCTGGAGTTGCAGAAGACATGGGTGTCATGCACCTTCCCCATCCAGCTGATGAAAATGTCTGTAAATTTGCTGCGGTGGTCAACCAAGACCTGCAGGACCATAGAAAGTATCCCTTTCTGTTTATGTACTGTGCTGAACAGGGGCCTGGGGCCTGGATGGAGATGTGTGTTCCATCAATAGTCCCCCTTCCCCCCACACAGCAAGATTGTGTTAATAGCCCTCACCACCTGCAGAAGGAGACAAACAAAGAAAAAGCAGAGAATCAAAGGGGGTGCCAGAGCCCTTGGGAGGTCCCTGCGACACCACCCCACCCCAACAAACACTCCAGAAGCCACCCCTTATGAAGCTCCCCCTGCAGGGCTATGTGACAGCGGGACTGCAGAACCCCCTGGAGATGGGGCTTCTCCACCACCACCTCCAGCCCATCCCCTGCACCTCTAACCCCCCCCTTTTGACTACCCCTCTCCAGGGACTGCAGCTCGAGAGTGCTATACCTGCATAAGGAGGGCCCTGATGGTCAGCTTTCCCACACTGAACTGGTTGCCCATGGACTGGTAACTGTGTGGCATGGACACCTTCCAGATGGCGACCCGCTTCTCCAGGGAGGGTGGCGGGTCGCATCTGGGTGTCCTGTCATCTGAGGGCAGGGCTGAGCCAGGCACACAGCTCCATGAATGTCTCCTTCCTCATTTTGGAAGATTTGGAGCAACTCCTCTATCGCCAGCTGGTCCCACCAGTCGGAACTGCAACTTGTCCCACACACAGGCAGATGTTCTCAAGGATCAGCTTGGCATCAAGCTCATGCAGGGCCAGGAAGGCAGCCTACAGAAACTGCTGCAAAAATTGCCACAGAGCAGTGTGGGGCCATCATGTGCCCAAAAGCAACTCTGGTTCCATGGCAAAAAGTGCTATGTGTCCTGAAGCAGGGCAACCAGAGCATGCAGAGGAAATGCTTTGCTGTCCTTCGTAGAGCTAGGCAAGCAAGCAGAAGAACCTGAGACACGACTGTTGGGGGGGGGGTCCCTTTAAGCTCATGTCTCTGCCTTAGGCAGCAGCTCCCAGAAGCAACTGCTGACCTAATGCCCTGCCTGTATTGGTTCCAGGTGGCCTTACATGCGAGATAGTGTCTAATCAGCGTGGACACTATTTTTGGAAATAACGCATTTCTATTTTCCTGCACTTTTTGTGTGTGAACGCTCTATTTCAAAATAATCTGTTGCAGAAGATCTGGAAAAGCTTATTCTGAAAGAAGCTTGCAGTGTAGATGTACCCTGTGTTGCTGTTCTTGGTGACAAGTTTGCCCTCCCAGGTGCTAAAGGTCCTGCCAACTTAAGAACATAAAAATGGTCATACTGGGTAAGATCAAAGGTCCAGCCAGCCTAGTACCCTGTCTGCCAACAGTGGCCAATTCCAGGTGTCCCAAAGGGGGTGAATCAAACAGGTAATGATCAAGTGATCTTTCTCCTGCCATCCATCTCCACCCTGGCCGTGTCCAGACTCAGGGGTTTTTTCGGGAAAAGTAGCCTTTTCCCGAAAAAACTTCCCCTGCGTCCAGACTCAAGCCGCGTTCTTTCAAAATTATTTCGAAAGAACGCGGCTTTTCTTTCGATGGCGGTAAACCTCGTTTCACGAGGAAGAACGCCTTCCTTCGAAAGTTCCTCTTTCGAAAGAAGGCGTTCTTCGATGTAAAGAGGCCGTCTTCGAAAAAGAGCATCCAGACTCGCTGGGTGCTCTCTTTCGAAAAAGCGGATTTCTCTTTCGAAAGATCCGCCTGCAGTCTAGACGCGATCTTTCGAAAGAGGCTCTTTCGAAAGATGCTTTCGAAAGAGCTTCTTTCGAAAGAAGCCTGCAGTCTAGACATAGAGTGCTTTCTTTGAAAAAAAGCCTGCAGTCTAGACATAGCCCCTCTGACAAACAGAGGCCAGGGACACCATTCCTTACCCATACTGGCTAATAGCCGTTTATGGACTTAACCTCCATGAATTTATCTAGTTCTCTTTTAACTCCTGTTATAGTCCTAGCCTTCACAACCTCCTCAGGCAAGGAGTTCCACAGATTGACTATGTGCTGTGTGAAGAAGAATTTCCTTTTATTTGTTTTAAACCTGCTGCCCATTAGTTTCATTTGGTGGCGCCTAGTTCTTGTCAGTGTAGATGCTCTCTTGTGGAAGACTTTTTGCACAAGAACTCTTCTGCAAAAGAGTTCTTGTGCAGGAAGCTGCCAGTGTAGACGTAGCCCCATTCCACACCACTCATGATTTTATATACATCTATCATATCCCTCCTTAGTCTCCTCTTTTCCAAGCTGAAAAGTCCCAGTCTCTTTAATCTCTCCTCATATGGGACCCGTTCCAAACCCCTAATCATTTTAATTGCCCTTCTCTGAACCTTTTCTAATGCCAGTATATCTGTTTTGAGATGAGGAGACCACATCTGTATGCAGTATTCCAGATGTGGGCGTACCATGGATTTATATAAGGGCAATAAGATATTCTCCATCTTATTCTCTATCCCTTTTTAAATGATTCCTAACATCCTGTTTGCTTTTTTGACTGCTGCTGCACACTGCCTGGACATCTTCAGAGAACTATCCATGATGATTCCAAGATGACTTAAAGAGAAAGATAACATTTTTTTTTTGCCTTGGAAAAAGCCAAGAATTGTCTCCAGATAACATAACTTTGCTGTCGACAGCCAAGATAGTGAATTAAGATGATGAATCCAATTGAAAAGTTTCCTTCTTTCTTTCACTATTTATTGCAGAAGTTCTAAGAAGTTTACAAATCCTTGTCATGTAAATATCAGAGATAAAGCAATAATTACAACAGTTAGCTTTTTATTAAAGAGACATTATATAGGAATGGAGTCTGCAGATCTTCCTATTTAATAAGATGTATGGATGCACACTCTATAATATGATAACACGCATGTTGTTTCTAGTGATTTTATTGAATCGTGTCAGCTTCTGCATGAGCTCATTTGAAAGATCTGCTATGTCTAGTTAATGATAATAAAAATGAATAGATGTTCTATTCAATATATATATATTGCAGGTGAATATATTTAAGTACTGAATAAAAAGTAACGAAACATCTCAGTATCTGTCCTCTGTTTATTTTTCTGGGTATGTGTGCATTAATTCCTCTCTGACCACAACCTCCCATATTATTTTTAACCACAGTGATTGGGCTCTTTCTACAAAGCTTTTGTAAGAGGTTGTGACGGACCGGGCCGTGTCTGGGCACAGCTGAGGGCATCGAATCTCCCAGTCCTAGATGCAGGCTCTAGCAGAGATGTTGCAGCTGCTCGTTTAAAAGTTCTTATTGCACATCCTAAGATCAGGATGGGTTCACAGGTCTTCCGGGCTCTTCAATCCCTGCAATGCTGCCTCTGGGATGAAGTGCTGAGCTGAGAACAAAATGTCATCGACCACATGGCCTCTTTATACCTCCTTCCTGGCCTCTTCTGGTATGCAGCAGGTCATCTGGTCCTCAGCCTCTCTGTTTTCCCTGCTGGCTGCTCTCAGGTGACAGGCCCCATTCTTTGGGTGTGTCCTTGGCCCATTGAGAGCCATTGTTCTGCAGGTAATTAGCATGTCCACAGGCTCCACAGGCTCGGCCCTGCCCAATGCTTAACCACATGCAGGGAAATCTTCAGTGTCCATACAAGTACATGCTAATAATTGCACACACAGAGGCTACGTCTACACTGGCCCCTTTTCCGGAAGGGGCATGTAAATTTCACCAGTCGTCGTAGGGAAATCCGCGGGGGATTTAAATATCCCCCGCGGCATTTAAATAAAAATGTCCGCCGCTTTTTTCCGGCTTTTAAAAAAGCCGGAAAAGAGCGTCTACACTGGCCCCTTTTCCGGAAGGGGCATGTAAATTTCACCAGTCGTCGTAGGGAAATCCGCGGGGGATTTAAATATCCCCCGCGGCATTTAAATAAAAATGTCCGCCGCTTTTTTCCGGCTTTTAAAAAAGCCGGAAAAGAGCGTCTACACTGGCCCCGCTCCTCCGGAAAAAGTGCCCTTTTCCGGAGGGGCTTATTCCTACTTCGAAGCACTTTTTCGGGCACTTTTTCCGGAGGAGCGGGGCCAGTGTAGACGAGCCCAGACATTATACAAACACATGAACAGCATACATAGGATTATCAGATAATAAGCTTCTATTCAATACCTCACATGGCCCCCTTCTATACCATTTTTGGGGCCAACACCCCCACCTATGGGTGCATCAGTGATCTGGCTGCTTCCCTCCAATTCGGTAATGTGACAGAGGTGCTTTTGAAATTCTCTTCCATTCACTGCTTCCTTGTCCAATAAGTCAAGCTGAAACACAACTGGAATTATTGCTGTGCCATCAGCAGGGGTCATGCTACAAAAATGATCAGGAAGATTCAAACTAAAATGTAGTTAATACTCTTGAGGAAGAGGCAAAGCTCTCAGAAATACTGAACAACTGGCTTGGTTTTCTTTCTCCAGAGAGGACAGAGCCATTGAGCGACCAAGAGATTTTTGTTATTGTTCCGAATACCAGTGGATGTCAGCTGGAACAGAGTTGGAATCTATTAATTATTGTGTTGAAGCTTTTATTGTGGAGTGAATTGATAATTGTTTTGCAGAAGTTAAACCAACAGGTACCTTTCATTCTTTTATGATTAATTTTACTTCATTTTTATTAGTGACTGCATTTTTGCACTGTAGCTTATTTCCTAGATCCTGCTTAATGTCAGGAACTAGATATAAAGAAGCATACAGACAGCTTGTTTTGAGATGCTTGTTTAATCAATGTAATAAATAGGCAACAATTAACTACTTCTCTGAATTATTTTTAACACTGGTTGGACATCTTGGAAGTTGTGTCTTCATTTGCTTTGTTTTTTCATTTAACTCTTTTCTGTGCACTTTTTGTCTCCAGAGTCTTTCAGATGTGACAAGATTGCACACAATTTTCTATCGGCATTAAATGATATAGCTGGTTGGGGATTTTCTGACAACATTCATTTTTTTATTTTCTATATTACTTCATATTTCAAAATGTTACTTAATGTATATATGAGAAAAAGTGTAAACAATTTTAAAAGGTCAAAATTGAAACAAAATGATAAAAAATTCAAAATCTCAAAAACTCTCATAGGAAAGGAAAAAAAATTTTCCACCACTGTTCTCCCTATAGCATTTTTAATTAAATAAGCTTCAGCTGTGTTTACTCCCCTTTAGCATTTGTGTACCTGGACTATTCAAGGAATCTAGTTTAATTAGCAAAAAGTAAAACACTGAAGTATTCATGAAATACAAATTCTATGTTTACTATCTGAGCATGCAAACCATAACCTGACTGCAAGAGTTAAACTTATTCAATGAGGGAGGAAAGCAATAATATGTGGGCAACCACATCACTGTGATGTACTTCAAATTTGAAATTTCCATTGCTTGAATAGCAACCAAAAGAGTAAAAAAATTAATGACCCATGTGTCAGATAATATTGTATAATAGATAAATCTGGAGAACCTGTCAGGTTGCTGGTAGAAATTTTATGAACAAAATAAGGAAGTGATATTTGTTAATTAAATTATGTTCATGTTCATTGTAATTGTTCATTAAAATTAGTCACTCAGCTATAATTCTTCCACTGTTAAATCAGCTTGTTTCAGTTTAAATTGTGACTTTATCAGGAAAAAAGAGATTTGGAGCTATGAATAATAGTTTTGTCAACAGTGTGCAGCATACTTCTGTGAAAATCACTCAAATTTGCTATGCAGTCTCTTAGCTTGCCAAATTTAGATGTCCTTTATATTTATGCACTCATGGGCAGTCTGTAAATACTTCATAAGCTTTTCCCCAACTGAAGCTGGTATAAGTGTCTAAGTTTCCCTAGTTTTAGTTAGATATAAGATTGTGTGCTGCTTTGACCAGGATTTCTCTTTTGACAAATCCTACTCCAAAACCCTGTGTAAAATATATAAAGACCATCTCAAATGATCAGACAATTGCAGCTACTCAAACTCAAGCAGCTTTTGAAATGGTGATGAGCATCTGAGAGGATCTTTCAGCACATAAATGAAATGTGCTTATTTATAGGATGACCAGGTGTAAAAACCAGGATGTTTGTCTCATGGGGCTGGATTCTATGGTGGTCATGAAGGTATTGGAGATACAAGCAGAAGGGATTGGACTGCATGGGAGAGATGGGAAGATAATTAATTGGAGCCCGTTTCGCAATCATATTTTCTAGACTTTTCTCTTCTCTTTTTTCTTCTTTTCTCCCCTCCTTCTTGCCATTGTCTGCTCCCTTTTCCCTAACTTACTGTTATCCTTCTAGACCCCTAACACTCACTCAATGTGTCATGTTCACATCCTACCTTCAGAGCCAAATTTTGACCCCCGTTCCATCCCTCATGCTGCCCCCCAGCTGAGAATGTTGGGCTAATGTAATGTCTACATGTAGTGAGTCTTGTTTTATGGGAAGTTTACTCTGCTGTGGCATCCCCTTGTCATGGGAATCAGTAAAGCTCTGAATAGCCTGATGTGAAACAAGATGGCTTCTCTGTAATAATAAAAATAATAAGAATTAATAATTATCCTTTCTGATTCAAACTCACTTATCCTTTTCCAGCTGGTCCAAATTCCATTTAAAGTCACAGCCTATTTATCATTATTACTGTATATTATAATGCCTAGAAGTTATGGGTGAGGGCCCCATTGTAGTTCTTTTGACAGGCTCCTTTTTTTTTGGAACCTACTACATCCCCAGGGGTTATAGGAGGAGCAATAGGTGTTTCACTGCCAGGAACACCATGATCATCTACCTCGCCTGCTGCAGGACATTGGCCTCTGAAGGGATGGAGCTGTGTCCCTCCTTAAGCAGCCAGAGCTCCCAATTACACCAGGCCAACTTGCAGGTTTCCAATGCCCAGTATATTGAATGGGAGCAATCCTAGAAAAATGGGAAATTATTGTCACCTAGAGCATGTCCAGTCCTACTCAAAAATATCTCACAGCTGGCATCTCTCTTCCAGCTGCTTATGTCTGGGCTTCTTGGCATTGTCCACTTCCCTGGCAAGACTCTGAGGCAAGCTACGATACAAGGAGGTGGTGATAGCATCTAGAACAAACAAATCTGCCTCCTTTTGGACATTTTAACCTCCAATAGCAGTTATTCCCATTAGATCCCCTCCATGCCTTCAATATTTAGCCCAGACTCAGACACTCACAGGAAGCAATGGCTTCCCCAACAGTTTCTTATTAAAGAGGTAGAGGTTTGTCAGGTTTTCACTATAGGGCCTATTCTGTAGACAGTCAGAGCATGTTTCCCAGCAAAAAAAATTGACAGCTAGCTAATGCCAGCCAACTCAGGCTTGTGCGGCTTGGGCTGTAGGGCAGTTTCATTACTATGTAGGTTTCCAGGCTCCGGCTGCACCCCAGATACTAGGGTTTTGCAGGGTGTGTTTTTCTTTGCTAAGAAAATATACCCCTCATTTTCTTCCTCTTCTCTACAAGGACCTCAGCAGCACTGCTGAAACAAACACAGCCCACAACCCACAGCAGGAAAAACCCTCAGGGGCTCTGCTTCAAGAGTAAAGTCACTATTTGCAGAATTAGGGGAAACCATGTCACATGTACTGACTTCCTCCCCTCAACATTCATTATTTGTTAATTTGCAAATTGATGAGTTTCTATTGCAGTATGGGGCTGCAGAGCTATAGTAAACATTATGATGTTGTCAGACAAATACCCCTAAAAACACTTGCTTTGCATGATAAGATTAGCTTTAGGGGACTTCTGACAGGAAAGCAGAGAGCATGTAACATTTCAATAAAAGAGAAACACTGTATGCAAAATTTAGAAAAGAGATCTGCCAATATGCAAGGTATTAGGAGCAGGATGGATTGATTTAAATCAAATTGATTTAAATAACTCATTTTAAACATGATTTAAGTGAGCAAGCAGAAGGCCTTTATTTAAATACTCAATATTTAATTTTGTTTTGCATTTGTACTCCCCCCTCCCCCCCGCTCCAAGAAAGTTTGATTCTCATTGTTTACATACCAGTAATTTGGCACTTTATTTTGCAAATACATGGTATTTATACACATTTATTTAAGCAGTTGTATGATTTAGCATAATTCTTTGTTTTCTTGTGGCACTTTTTATGTTATGAAATGTTGACTTTTCTTATTGACTAGATGATGATCAACTTTTTATTTGTTGATTTGTGCCAAGCTGGATTTGGGAGAAAATTGGGAATCAATTAGAATTCCACAAAAACACCACTTTAAAATTTATTTTTACTAGTTACCCCCCCAATTATTCTAAGTGTGCTGTAGATGAGCTTTTGTTTTTAATTAAAAAGAATTGTGTTTTTATATTTCAGGTCTTTGAAATCTTGTAGTATAGCAGAGGTGCATCACAATGACAAACTCAACAAACTGCAGCAACAGTCTAAAGTTGAATTACAACGTTCAGCTCATTCAAGTCATTATTTATGCAACAATTTTTCCTTTTGGAGTCATATTTAATATCCTTGCCTTGTGGGTGTTCTGCTGCAAAATGAAAAAATGGACAGAAACTAGGGTGTATATGATCAACTTAGTCATTGCAGACTGTTCTGTAGTCTGCACCTTGCCTTTCACAATTTATTTCCTCTGGAATGACTGGAGTCGTGACATGTTGTGCTTAACTATACAGTCTATATATATAATAAATATGTGCATGAGCATCTACATTATCACTGTCATCTCAGTTGATCGATATATTGCCATAAAGTATCCTCTGAGGGCAAAGAGTTTAAGGTCACCATGGAAGGCAGCTTTTATCTGTGGGTTTCTTTGGATATCAGTGATAACAAGCCAGAACGTAAATCCAAGCAGAGAGGAACCTTTGTGCTTTCAAAAGCTTTCCACAACACCATCAGCCAGTATTCTATATATCTGGATCTTGGTTTTTTTAATTCCACTAATAATCCTGAGCTTTTGTTCCATACACATCATCAGGAGTCTTAACAAAAAGATAATCACAAATCCACAGGAAAAAAAGCTAATTGAGAAAGCTATCTATATTGTTTCTACAAACATGATTGTATTTATAGTGTGCTTTTTACCTGTCCAAGTTGGGATGCTCGCTAGATTTGTGATGGAAAAAAATGAAGTTACATGCCTTGCAATCAAGAAGATTAGAATCTTTATAAGTATTACCTCATGTATAGCAAATTCTAACTGCTGTATGGATGCTATTTGCTACTATTTTGTCGCCAAGGAATTTCGAGAAGCTTCTTCCTTTTCTAAGCCCAAATATCATCACTCAAAAACAAATCAAAACAACACCGCTCAATTGCTGGTATAAAAAAGTTGCAGTACCAAAGCTAGAAATAAGAGAAGTAATGGACTTACCATGCATAGGATATTCACAGTTATGTTTCATCTCTGAAAAGAAAATCACCACAAAGTACTCTATTGTTAATTTTAACAGGATTTCCTGTTAAACAACATTAAATAAGTAACTGCTACAATCAAACTAGAAAAGAAGTAGGATGAAAACTGTCTTCCAGAACTAAAGAAGAGATAGTAAAGTACTAGTTTTGCACTAAAAACACCGTAGTGTAAAGACTGATGCATGAACTTTTCCATGTTGACATGTTATATCTGCTATCCTTTTGCTTAAATATAAATAAAAAGTGTTCAGATTCCTTCTGGCAATGTCATTTAAGTTGAGAGAAGAATACAGATAGAATTTCTTTTGTTGAAAGAGAAATTCAAAGAGATCATTAATACTTTAGATATGGGGCAAAGTAGTATTCAACTTAGCAAGCATTATGTACTTATAGATATAAATATATATGTAGGAAATGGCATGAGAACAATGTGGAGTCAGTTTGTGTAATGTTCAACTAATGCTCAACTAATGTGACAAAAGGGTGAATCAGTTGCTGGATGAGTGACTATATGAATCTTAGAATCCCAGGGCTGGAAGAGACCTCAGGAGGTCATCGAGTCCAGCCCCCTGCCCAAAGCAGGACCAGCCCCAACTAAATCATCCCAGCCAGGGTTTTAAAGCTGAGACTTAAAAACCTCTAGGGATGGAGATTACACCACCTCCCTAGAGAACCCATTCCAGTGCTTCACCATCCTCCTAGTGAAATAGTTTTTCCTAATCTCCAACCTAGATATCCCTCACTGCAGTGGATGGCGGGGCTGCAGTGGGCAGGGCAGCTGTGGCCATGGAGGGTTAGGCCTTCCGGGCCAGACCTTTGCCCTTGTTCTTTCCCTGGCTCTTTTTTCTGGCCAAGGTGGAGGCTGCTCCTGTATCTGAGAAAGCATCAGCCGTGGCAGCGGCAGAGCTCAGGCCAGAGGTTGGGAGGTCAGCTGCAGCAATTTTCTGGGTTGGTGGCAATGGGGGGGATTGTGGGGTCAACAGGGGCAAGGGCCTCCATCATGGGGAGAGGGTGGAAAGAGGCACAGAGGGCAGGGAAGGGGGCGGGGGTTAACCACTCCTCCCCACCAAGCAACAGGCAGAGGAGGAGGGTGTCAATGAAGAGAAGGGGGGGTGGATGGGAGGAGGGTACTAGATTCAGGGAAGGGCAACCAAGGAAGGGGCACCAATCATACCTCCCTGCTTAGCTAGATGCAGAGAAGGAGGGTGCTAGCGAGAAGGGCAGGGGCACGTGGGAGAGGGGTAGATCCTGGAGAGTGGGGAAAGCAACCACTCCTCCCTGCGGAACAAAAGGCAAAGGAGGAGGGTGCTAAAGGGAAGGGTCGGGATGTGAGGAAAAGGAGGGAGGGTCGCAATGGGGAGAAGGAGGGAGGAAGGGAGAGGAAAAGCAACCACTCCCTCCTACCATGTTGTTTGTAGGGAGCGAGGGTGTTAACAGGGAAAGGGCACAGATGGGAAACTGAGGAAGGAAGGGCTAGCAGCCGCTCCTCCCTGCGAGACTACAGCAGAGGAGGAGGGCACCAGAGGGAAGGGGGTTCACAACTGGAGAGGGATGGAGATGGGGACAGCAACCACTCCCTCCTGCAGGGGAAGGGCACAAATGGGGAACCCAAGGAATCAGGAGCCAGCAACCACTCCTCCCTGCAAGGCTGGAGGCAGAGGAGGAGGGTGCTGGCAATACAGGACAGGGGACACGGTAGTGGGTGCAGGATGGGGCCGGCTCCTCCGGCTGCACTGAGGTATGGGGAGGAAACTATGGAGCCATCAAAGGGAGTGCAGTGTACAAGGGGGACTAACTAAAAGGCAGGGGGAAAGGGGCACAAGCACTCGGGGCAGGGGCCAAGGCATACAGGGCAGTGGCTAAGGGAGGCTAGGAGAAGGAATAAGTGCTGGGTGAGTAGCAGGCAGGGTGGGAGAAAACAACAGATGGGGGATGGGGCGCACACTACAGCAGGCTAGCCGGGGTGGGGGCGGGGCAGGCAAAAAAAACAAACTCTGGAGCAGGGCGGGGCCAGTGAGTAAATTCAGCGAGGGAAGGAGAAAGCAAACTGGGCTAGCAGGGTGGGGCAGGCAGTAGGAAGGGGGGGGAGCC